CATATATGCATTATCTGTAAATATAAACGTACATGTATATATGTATACATACAAATATACACATATATACCCATTTATGAGAAATGTTACGTACACATATACTTCTTTACATACACACATACACACACACATACACACACACATATATATATATATATATATAAATATAAATATTGCAGAATAACATACAACTTACTGTTCCTTTAGGGCCAGTGAGATTTGTTCCTCTTGATTTCCGAAGCCTTCTAATATATGTTCGTTTTGCTCGGTAGCTATTGCGCAGAATGCGCTCAAGTCAAGAACATCTTCGTTGACGGCTAAAGTCCTACAATTGATTGTTGTGTTGAGAAAAATGAGTAATACATAAATCAATCCGTTTCTGGCTGCTGCATTGATAAGAACAAATGAAATCACGAAGTGCTGTTTGGAGCAGAACCGTCGTACTTTGAAAAGAAGACGCTCAAAAATTCACCCATGCTTTTATTGTATGATCGCAGTTTTATTTCGTTAAGCCACACTATATAATGCACCCAAGCACACAGCAAACTACACAGAAATAGAGAAAAGAGAAAATGAGCCCAAATTGCCATAAACTGAGCTCGTGTGTATACATACTCGAGCAACGTGACAATATCTGATGTTTGTTTGTAAGAGATATTCAAAGACTTTTGGCTATTGCTGTCGTTCTTGTCCGGGAAAAATTCTTTCAGCAGTTTATCAGCCATGTCTTGTAACTTTGCTTTGCTTTCGACCGTCTGTATAGAAGCAATAACGGAAATTACTTACACTGATATAATTTATAAAGTAGCAATGAAGGGAATCCGGGAATCAGCAGTAAAATCTGTATATACTCACAACTTTTCTCTGCACTCTACCAGCCTGTAGGTTGATAGATCTTGCAAACTATATTTACATGATGTCAATCTTCAATAGCGAGTAGAATTGGGACACCAGCCTGGTCGAAATCCCCGATTTTTATCTACTATTTGGCAACCCTAAAATCAGCAAAGCATATACGCGTAGGCGAATCTTTTACGAGAAAATCCAGTTTGAATGTAGATAAAACCAGATACGTGGTATTCATTCAGGCTTTTATACAAAACCAACAAACACGTGAGGGTGTATTCAGATAAGGTAGATATGATAGGCAACCTCAGGTATGGAAAACACTCACTTTACAAAATCGAGCAGATAAATGTGTCTCAGGTAGTAACCATTATAAAACAACAAACTACATAGAACGCCAATATACATAGCAGGATGTTTTATCTTTGAATGGCACCATACAGGTGAGTTAATTACAAGTGTACCAACTCTGAATATCATATCCATGTTTAAATTGGCGCTGAAACAAATCATACCTTCAGCGACTCCACCTGCAGCCAGAACATGAGGTTTTCATCAGAATGTTCCGTTCTAAGAAACGCGCGGAAGGCTTCCAACCCGTCACCGTCTTTCAAAATAAGCATGAGGGACGATCTTCGATCTAGGAGCCACGACAACTGAATTATCCTGATACGGTCCAAGCAGATGTAGCAGCAACGACTAAATTAACAATTGTATTTAACTTTGGCATGGGTGCACTATAAATGATCTAAATTCTATCCATAGTGGCTTGCAGTAGTAGATAAAGACACACACATATACACACACACTTATATATATATATGTATATATATATGTGTGTATACATATAAATGAGTATGTATATATATACATATGTATATATATATACATATATGTATTTATATGTATGTC